TTTAAACTTGAGTATGAACTTATACAAAATGCAGCAAGATATTTAAAAAACAGTTTTGTTGATTAAAAAACACTATATCGGATTCATATCGGTATCGGCAGATATCCAAATTTATGATATCGGTATCGGTATCGGACATAAAAAAGTGGTATCGTGCCATCTCTACTACAGGCTGAACTGTCTTGTTGACTTTAGCAAGACTGTTCAGGCTGAGGGAAAACTTTATGGCAGGTTACATTTTTTATAACTAACCTGTTTGGATTTTGTTAAGTACGGAGTCCCGCAGGGGACATGGGAGAAAAAAAAATTAAGACTGATTTTTGCGAGATCTCGCAAAACTAACTCGGGATCTCGCAAAAGTCTTGCGAGATCTCGCAAAAGTTTTAGCCGCCAGCTCAAAGCCGACCGGGAAGTCGAGGCATGATGTGCCAGGAAAGCGGTGTTCCTCCCGGCTGTAGTAGGTCTCGACCTCCCGTTAGCTTCGAGATGGTGGGATTTTGGGATCTCCGAAAACGTCGGAGCACTTTTGCAAATATGTGATGTCTTGTAAACCGAGCAGATATCTGACGTTTACACAACTACATTCACGCCTCAAAATATCTTAAAAGTGTATTTTGTGACCCAAAAAGAGTAATATTACAACTAAGTAGCTGCCGCCATTGTTGGAATTAAACTTTTGCGAGATCTCGCAAAAGTTTTGCGAGGTCCCGAGTTTGTTTTGCGAGGTCCCGAGTTTGTTTTGCGAGATCTCGCAAAAGTTTTGCGAGGTCCCGAGTTTGTTTTGCGAGATCTCGCAAAAGTTTTGCGAGATCTCGCAAAAGTTTTGCGAGGTCCCGAGTTTGTTTTGCGAGATCTCGCAAAAGTTTTGCGAGGTCCCGAGTTTGTTTTGCGAGATCTCGCAAAAGTCCGTCTTAATTTTTTTTTCTCCAATGTCCCCTGCAGGGCTCCGTAGTTAAGCCTTAAAAAGTCTTAAAAAGCCTTTAAAAGTCAATCGATTGACAGGTTTGGACAGCTTTCTGCCAGCCCTGCTAGTTCAAGTCACGGAACTGTGTTTGCGCTGCTGATGCCTCTTCACTTCAATAATATGGGACATAAGTGCACTTTCTGTGCGCTACAGACCATGCAAGAAGTTTGTGCTCCAGTTTTGGTGCATGAAATTCGGCAAACATTTTGATAGTCTGTTCAAACTAATTAGCAGGTCTCTGTGCTGCACCCAAATAGTTTGTGGGGGTATTAGCTGGTGCTACACCTTGTAGCCTAAATATGGTCACTTACTGGGTGAAAAAGTGGATGAAATATTAAAATTTTAATTCAATTTTTCCTCTATATGATCAACACATGAAACGTTTCTCTTTGCTGCCACTAAACATAAGAAAGCATTGCTAGTTGCTTGCTGTTTAAATATGGTTTAAAATTGTGTTTTTTGTGTTTATAAGGGAATTGTTAGAACATGAAAACAAACTTCAAAAAGACCAAATTTAAAAACTCAGTTGTCATCCTGCAGCTCCCCCTACTCCTCATGTGTTTAGTGGCTCTGCCCCCCCACCAGCTTTAAACACATTTAGATCTGGCCTGTATGCAGCACATGACTGCAAAGATATATCATAGACCCTTTTAGTACCATACCCACAACACAGACTGTGGGATTTCTCTTGAACTAAAATGTTTATTTCATCCACTCTGATCTCGAGCCTACTGAACTAACACGACATCTCTGCGCCTGCCCTCTCCCCACGAGTCCCTCCTGTGTGTGTGTGTGTGTGTGTGTGTGTGTGCGCGCGCGCGTGTGTGTGCGTGCTCGCTTGCTTAACGAGGTTGAGTCTCACAGAGGACTCTTCAATTGATCATTTGATTCGCTCTAGCTCCTAGATTTTCACATTAAATCCATGGGCTTTGATCTTCACATCTTCTTGAACCTTCATGTAACTTGTGTGTCTGTACGCACACCATGTGACACACATCTTGCCGTTTGCTAATACTCTACATACGTCAGGCCGTCTGAAACATTAGACAAAATCGCGTCACAGGTGTAAAAATGTATTGAAACATTTTATTTGTCACGTATGGCTCGGCGATTGCCCACCATCCACCTCCCTCTGCGCTCCCCTGACCTCCTTTTCACACACACCCTCCAACTCTCTGAGCCGTTAACAGCATCGGCCACTGAACTCTCCAGGACTCTAAGTAGAATCCATTAGAGTGTGATGAATAATTAAATCTCATGTGTTAGATTAAGACCAATGTCTCTCCTCCTCTCCATGTTTTTTTTTTTTAACTTCAGATCACTCATGTGCTCAGGAGGAGGGTAAGAAGCCTGCTGCATCATTTGGGAGGGCCTCAATCACGGAGAGGCGCAGAGTAGGAAAGCAGCAGTCTGATGAGCGCTGCGATAAACAAACTAGAAAGCGGAACGGAGCGTTCCCTTGGATCTCGCTATGTTTACCCTGGGATGGATGGCTGACAGAAAAACTCTTCACAGGCACAGCAGAGGCTCCTGAGTCTGAGTCTCAGCATTTCACCCTCTGTTTCTCATGGTTTCCTTTGAGAGGCAGTGTTTTGTCAAGTTTACGTCGACACTTTTTCCACATTTGAATTTTCCCATTTTCTAAGCTGAGCAGTCATGTATGCAACTAATCCAAGACTCCTAATACTTTTTACTTCTGTATTATAACTTTAAGCTTTGTAGCTGTGCCTTGTTTATAATGCTTTACCTTTATTGATTTCCTTTTTTTTCAAGTCTCAAAATGACTTGACAACTGTCAAAAATGCAAGTTTTTGCTCTCAACTGTCAGTCAAACAATATTTCATGAACTTTACTCAGAACCTTCTTGCTTCTTTGACTTCTTTCACCACTCGTATGTTCGTTTTTTCCGATTAAAACTAACTGCATTACCCGATTTGTGGAAATACTAATTTCTATCACTGCAAACCCCACACGATGAACGCTTTGTGCGTAAGATCATTTAAGCAGCGCTCTGTGCCCCCCTCCAGGATCTGTGCTATACTTCAGTCATTAACACTGCAATATGAGGGCAGGAGTCAGGGTAACTAATGCCAAACTATTTCTGCAGGGTAGTTTAATTAAAAATGTCTTTTAGTGACTAATTTCCCTATCAATGTGTGGAGCTCTATTTGAAGTTCCTGCGCTGCCACATGTGCCAGCTACAGTGGCTGATAACGCTCGTCTTTGTCATAGAAAGACTGAGTTTGAGTCCCTGAATTTATTTGGAGTTTGAGGAGTTTCTCTCTTTTCCTGCTATTTGTTGCATGGTTACGGTGAAATACTGTGCTGTGATGACCCCGCCCACTTTGCCTGGCCTGCTCTTCCTTTTTCTTGTTTTGTGTAGAAGACAGACAGACATTGTTAAAACGGGCTGATTTGTTTGGTTTTGTTTGGTTTTCTTTCTTTTAAACATCTCCACCACATACCTGCATTCACAGGTACTCACCACATGACCCATTTAGCCACTCCACATTTCTTTTGAGTTTTTGTTCCAGGAGTGTTAAACCTCAATATTACTGAAGCAGACTCTATGTAGCTTCAGAATGAACCCCTAACAACCACAATCTTTCTTCAACTGTCATTTATTCACTATAGAGTACTAATACCTGCAATAGAGTGATAACTCAGAATGTGTAGTAAGACAGTCTGTTCAAACATTGCATTTGTGCATGCAGAGGGCTTTGTAACTAACAGCTTAACCTATAGCAGCTGGCTACAATAATCTTCAGGGATTCATTTACTTCTACAGCTACTTTCAAGTCCTGTTCGGTATGGAATTTAGTTTACTGGTACATGCCCATACTACAGTACTGTTTGTTCTGTCTGTGCTGTTGGCAAACTTATACTTATCAATAGAAAAGCGTCTGGACTTCTTTAAATTACTTGAAGACGTTTCACCTCTCATCCGAGAAGCTTCTTCAGTTCTAAGGTCAAATGGTGGGGAGTCCCAGATTTAAACCTAGTGGGAGTGACCCCCCACAGAGGGACAAAAGGACCCCCTGATGATCCTTTAATCGCCTGAGCCAAGGTGTGAAACTGGGTGTGGGTCCCAATCAGCCAGAGTTTCGGGTGAGTTCATTGTGAAACCTGGCCCCACCTTATCATGCGAATTCCTGAGGTCAGATGGCCCAGGATGTGAGTGGTCCCAGGTTTAAATCTGGGACTCTCCACCATTTGACCTTAGAACTGAAGAAGCTTCTCGGATGAGAGGTGAAACGTCTTCAAGTAACTTAAAGAAGTCCAGACGCTTTTCTTTGCAAGCTCCTTTGACTACGATGACCTGGATGACAGAGAACCTTCACAGACATATACTTATCAATATACTTGATCACATTAAGAAAAGCAGAATATGGGTTGGAGATGTTTATATGGGTCATGTTAGCCTGGTGCTAGTTGGTGGCAGCTTTTGTGGATATAAATGAGATGGTGCTGTCATGAAATCGAAATGACAGGATGCTTTCATGAGGCCTTACAGGTGTATAAAAGGTAAAAACAGGTCATTTGGATGGTGGTTGCCCGGCAACATGATAGGATTAATATATAACATGCATAATTCAGATGTGTTATATACAAATTAGATGTTACTGTTATGAAATCAAAATGGTGTTTTATAAGTTGCTATAGGTACATAAATGGTAGGTGGTTGCTAGGCAACCTGATGTTTTTCTAACATCTGACATAGTTAAAACCCAACAGGTGCCAAGTATGGTTGCTCAACTCCTGATGATCTAGGAGGAGTTCATGGGCAGGCAGAGATTTCATGTAATAAAATAAGATGTTTCAGTTTTTGGTGACCTAAAATGTTTCTTTCACTTTGGACCTTTTGCTTTTTACCTTAATCCATTTCAGGTTTTTCACTGGCCTAGAATTGCTTTAACAGGTTGTTTCTGATGCTAATGACACCATAACTCTGGTTTATATTAAAAATAAAACCTGTCTTCCTGTCTATCGCAACAATAATGTATTAATAATCATAATCTATCCCGGCTGAAGGTGACATTAAAAAAATGTAAACAATCCACCCCAGTTGCTTTTTTCTTACCCGAGCTGTGGATGGGGTACAGATCCTGGATCATGGACGGATGGTGGACCACCTGCACGTACGGAGGTGGAGCTACCACGTGATTGACGTGTTCCCGTGCTTCTCCACTGTGCAGGATGCTCACCTTGGTTGAGGACACATGAAGCAGGAGTGAGGATTTTAGAAAGTAGGGCCATCAAAATAAACATTTTACAAGATTCAATGTTTACCTTCACAACCAAAAAAGCCTCAACTCTAACAACTGATATTATAATCAGTGACAAATGAAAATGAAAATGGAAGAAATGTGGAAGCAAATTTATGCTCGGATATTTTAGGAGACAGAACCAAATCAATACTTGAGTGTGAACACCAGGGATGGATCAATAAGTCAAACCTTTCTCAGAGTAGGGACAGATGCACAAAGAACAGGTGTGTGTGTGTGTGTGTGTTAATGTGAGGCCTACTCTGACGTTGGTGTTCAAAGTTGCACTGAGGCCTCTTTAGACATGTTTAACTCTTTTACAGCCTGGGTATTTTAGACGGTATTTTGCTACTAAGAGGCTGAAGTGGCACAGCTGGAAGGCTTGTTGAGGTTCTTTTTTAAATTCGCCCTGAAAGTTAAAGTGGAGACCTCAGCTGAGTCAGCTCAGTCACTTTGCCAGTTCAAGCACTTTGCTTCACTTGGTAGTAAAAAGCAACACGATCTCTAGTGGCACTTAGTGATATTAATGATTTTTGAGCATAATGTACATCTGTTTTATTCAAGCTGCTTGTCAGTTACATCTTCTTACATTGCCTTTTAGAAATACTTGAAGCTTGTCTGGGAGTGGGCGGGCTGAGTAAAATTAAAAGCACTGGGTATAAATGCATTAACCTGAATAATTATAGTCCAGCCCATTAAAAACAAATTTTCATACACTTAAAATATTAATTTTAACAATCATACAGTTTGCTTTTGATTAATGAACAAGTCATTGTCTTTACATCATAAAAACTGAATGCAAATTTTCACACAGTTGTGTAAAAACAAATTAAACTGTCATTTGATGAAGAACAGAAGAAAGTCCTTACATCTGGAGTCCGCCAGAGCTTATATTATATTTTTACATGCTGTGGAGCCATTTTTGGGAGCATTTCAAGTTGCTATACATCAATACAACCATTACAGCCCAAATTTTAATAATATGTCTGCATTAAGTGCATAGTAATTACATAAATTGCAAAAAAGTGCAATAAACTACAAAAAAATTGAAAATCGTTTTTGATTTTTAACATATATTTCTAGTTAGAGAAATTTAAGAGGCTCATCCCTCAAAACTGTAAATACAAAAAAGTTGCACAAACTAGTTTCCCACCAAAGGAAATTTATTTTAAGTGTCTTCATAGTTTTATTTTTGAGATACACCAATTTTCATAAACTGCAGGAAAAACGAAAAAATATATTATGGTGCAAATTTGCAAAATAACAGCATATGCATCAAAATAAAAATATTTCCAGCAGTGCAATATGAGTCCTCAGCATCCCAGAAACGACACAGAAAGTCATAAAGCCAAACATAACTTTTAAAAACACAAGTATAGGCTCATAAGGCCACGATGGTAAAAAACTACATTTCCGCAAAATGACGTCACTTCCGGTTTAGGGCAGGTCATGCGGTCATGTGACAGTTCACGCTGATGGACATAGGAAGTGTTACAAACAGCTGATCGGATCGGCAAAGCGGGTTTCTGGAATATTATGTTTTTGTTGCTGCAAGTGCTTTTTATGCAGTTTTTGCAAAGCTATATGTGGAAGGAAAATGTGACCTAGGACAAGCTGATGGCATAAGATGTAAGTACAACTCCTCCGGTTTCATATGCAAAAAAAATTATTGCGCTAGCTTACGTGGTTGCAGTGCTACCGGGATTTAAAAATAGTTACGCAAAATGGAGCGTGCCCGCTCCGACCGGCTTTAAAGGGTTAATGTTTGGCATATTGCTTTAAAAGATAATTCTAGTTTATTTCTACCTTTAATATTCCGATTAAAAAATGGCAAACGTGGCTACACTGGTCACCCAAACTTTATAGTTTCTCCCTTCATTGTAGGCGTAAATGTGTGGCAGAAAATAGTATGTTGATGCAGCTACCATGATCAATAGAGCCTTGACCACCACATGGATAGGAAACATGAAGGGTTTATATGAAAAGGGATTATAATGTATAACAAAATTCTCAGGTGATTATCAAACTAACTGGAGATTCAATTTCCGTCTAAACAGATAGTTTCAGCTATACTCAACACATTCCCAAAGTCCCAGAGAGCCACGACACACTTAAAAACCTGAAAATCTCATGGGGCCTACCCGACCTTCATTCTAATTAAAATACACAAGAAAGCGATGCATTTCCATTTTATTCAAAATACATAAACAGCACAGGCTGTTGGCTATAAGCTGCTAATGCTTTCCAGTCACATACAAGGCTGATGGGACACAAACTTCAGTACAAGAGCAGTAAATTCACAAACTAACCACCTCCTATTAATGAACTCCAGTTTTAACTTTTTATATAAATAAATAAAAGTTTATAAATAAATATGTAATTCTACATACTCGTAATTTCACACTGAATTTATGTCATCGCTGTGACCCACCTGCAGTACCTTCACTAAAGCAGAGATTCCCTGGTCCATATTTTGGGAATCTCTACATTAGTGGACAGTAACAATGCTAACGTAAGGTTTTTTTCTAGAATGGTCAACAGGTGAATTCACTACACAAATTTTAAAATAATCCATTATGGTTTTCCTTATTTTCTATGTATACTTTTAATGATGGCTACTCTCGTTAGACGTTCATACTTCCACATAATGACGTGAATGTAATGTATTCAAGTAATCCTTTAGTCCTCGTTTTTGAAGAGTACCTTTCAACTCTCAGATCTGTGAAGTGACAAAAGTGGGGATTTATTTTTTTAATTAGGCCTTTATTTATCCAGGCAAAAATCTAATTGAGATTAAAAAAATCTCATTTCCAAGAGAGACCTGGCATCTAAACCATGTAATGGATACAATTAACATGGCTATCTCAGGCACCCAACTCCTGCTGTTTTAAACCTTCTGTTTGCAAGTGGCAGCCAATCAGGAGAAAGCTACAGTATCTTAAAGGGAGAGAAGAAGAACTGCTTGAATCAGACAGAGGATGAACTGAAAGGCCAAATATGATATAAATACATCTTATTAAAATCTTTTCTTTATTAAATATGGATTACTTTGACAGATGCCAAAAATAAGTATGAAGAGGATCCTATCTGATTCACACTGACCTCAAGGCTGAACTCATTGCTGGTGTAGCGTCCGTTGAGCTCTGAACAGGTGAGGCGAAAACGCCTCTCTGTTAGCTGCCCGGGACGCCAGTTGTAGTAGCGCACCTCTCGGATCACCTGCTCATAGTTGGACATGGAGTCCACGCCTGTGGAAGGAGAGAGAGACAGCACAGGTTTGTCCAGCTAGTATATGTAGTAGTGGTAGATAGGAGCCAGCTAAAAAGGCATCAGTAACCTACCGTATATGGACATGCCAGAGGTGGAGTTGGTTGCATCAAGGTGTTTTCCAAGCAGAGCGCTTCGTTGCAGTTGGAGAGATTCGTGCTCTGGGCTCAGCTCCTCCCCCAGCACCAGGACATCACAGTAGTCTAAGTTATGAATGATCTCCTCCATCACTCCAGGTCGATGTGCTACACACATAGACACACACACACACACATGCAATTTGCTATAATTTGCCCCCTCTGATGCTCATCCCAGAGGGCAACTAGAGAAGATCAGCATCAGTTTGCTTTCAGCTCACTCCATCCTGTGTTTTACCAGCCGAAGATAGCGTTGGTATTATAACTTAGTGTTTGAGGTCAATTTCTATTTTTAGTTCCGAATATGCTGTTACTACTAATGAGCTCCACTGCAGCTCTTTTCCATTCCTGCTTCTCAGCTGGTTACTTTAGCTCAGCTTCCTTTGTTCTAATCTCACAGAATGATCCAAACTAATAATCAAATACGCGGTGCCAAACACGGCCAGCGTGAATGAATGTACCGTTAATTGTCACATTTCAGCAGTCTAATTGCTGCTGCCATGCCAAAAAATGTGTGTGGAAGAAAACGGTGCACGCTTTGAAGAACCATAATTCGAACAGCACAGGACACAACACCTACTCCTACTCCCACTCCCAGGCTCCAATTACCCATGAACTCTCTGAACGCAGTCAGCGCTGTGAGCTGCTGTGGTACCGTGTTCCTGCAGACAGCTCCCATCACAGCATTTCTGGGTGGCTGCTGGGGCTCTTTGACAGTCTGCTAAGCACTAGCCTCCACCTCTCAGCTGCTACCCAGCTTTCTCCCTCGCTGTAGATTCCCAAGGGAGGAAACCAGCTATGCCCCTTTTAACAGCTCCCCAGTTGAGAAGGACAGACACTGTATGTTGTGTGTCTGTGTTTGTGGGGAGACTGACGCAGCAGAGAAAAGGTAGGAAAGTGAGCAAAACGGGGAAAAAAATTTGGGTCCTAGAAGTAAAGGTATGTATGCTTTTTGTGTATGAATTACATTTTCTTTCCCTCAAAGTGCTCTGTAGTTCATGACAGAAGTATTTAACCCTATTTTAGCCTATTGTCTCAGGTTGAGATCTCCTTTTATGGGAATCTGTAGCTGAATCCAAAGGTGGGTCCATCCAAGACCCTGCCCCTGAAATAAAATGCTGATTACCTTTTGTTGCGTCTTATTTTAAATCCCAATGAATTATTGATGCAGTTTACTAACTGAGTTAACAGGCTGGCACCAGGTTTCACTAAAAACTAAATGATAATGCCAAACTGAAAATTATTAAGAATGACTTCCCAAACAAACCCATCATGTCAAGGTGGATATGTCTGGCTTTTATATGCAGTCTGTGGTTACTGAATTGACTGGAAATTAGAGAGTAATATATGAGTACACACACTCATTTTGAACATTGTGGTGATGCAGTCAATTCTGACCTTAGAGCTAGTCTGGGCTGAGATGAAAAACAAGAGCAGAAGGTAGAGAGAATGCAAAAAATAGAAAGAAGATAAAGAGTGCTGAATGAGTAAAGAAATTAAAACTAAAGAAATCTCTGGATCGAAGCAGAAAAGAAGAGAAAAAACGATGACCGTTAAAGCAAATGGGTCAAAAACAAGTTAAAGAAAGAAGTGATGACCTTGCCTTTAAATAAAAGAATCAGAGTAAGCCTGGAAAAGATATGGAAATATGAGAGAGAGAAACGAGGCAGTGCTGAGCAGGCTTAATAAAAAGACAAATGAATGACAGAAAGACAAAGCAAGGAAGAGGGCGAGGGGGTGATTAGCAGGGTCCAAAAGAAACCTATTGCATGCCCCGAAAAAGAAATATGTGATTTATCTTGAATCCTTTAAGCCTTGAGAGAATACAAAATCTGCTCATTATAGAACTTCATCGTGACGCCCTCTCCCTCACATCTTCCCATCTATCCTCCTTTTTTCCCTCTTCCATGTCTTTCTGTGGCTTCCAGCTAATCTCTTCGCCCCCAGCCAGAATATCTCCTTCACCAGCAGAAAGAGCTCCAAAAACTCCTGAAAGGGACACCGCTTTCTACTCGTCTTCCTGTGCCGAATTACGCACAATGGTGGGCTAAAACCTTCCTCTCGCTCTGCTTATCTGCTCCTAATTGGCTGCCAACGGCAGGGCCTGGGGCCGAGCCAGACGGTTCCTGCCTCGGTGGCCAGATCGTTGGATGAGACCAAAGCCTTCGGGATTTAAATGTCATACTCATTTGCGGTCGGGCAAGGCAGCGTAACCTAGCGAATCAGTCCTCTGGTAGGTATAGGGCTTACTCAGCAGGAGGGCGTTTGCATAGGCTAAGATAGTAAAGGGTATACCTACAAACTAGGGGTGCAACGATACACAAAATTCACGGTTCGGTTCGGTTCGATACTTTGGTGTCACGGTTCGATATTTTTTCGAAACAAAAAAAATGTTCATGCCTTTTTAATTTGTCATTTATTAAAATTATAAATATATATTTTAACTCAAAAGTACAGTTTTTAAATTGAACCCTAACCCTTGTGGTGTTTTTTATTTTGACAGCGAATGCGCACCTGCGGACCACTTATGTGCAGCCCTGGTTATTTAGCTCGTCATATTGCAGCCACAGAAATTCTTTTGTCCATGAAACCATAAAGCTGCACTTTCTTTTTGCCTTATAGTCTGATTTGTCATAACTTCTCCGTTTTGTGGTAAGCTTTTCTTTGGCTGTCACTTCTTCACCCTGACCTGTCTTATTTGGCTCAGCAGAACTGAAATGCTTTTACACACGCACTCACATAAGCTCAGCGATTCTCTGCGCGATCAACCTCTCACATGTTTAATGCTGCGGGAGATTTCACTTGTCATGTTTGCATAGTAAGCTAACGATTAATAAGACGATGTCAGAGGAATTGGTGCCAAATTATCATCACTCACCAGATCAGTGCTGTCGCTCTCTATACACAGTTTGCAGATTGCAAAGTGAAAGCAAAAAACAAGCGCAAATTCAAACGCGATTTCAATATGTCACATATTGACAGTGGCTCACCGATGCCAATGACATAATTACCCAGCTACATTTCTGAAAGAATGCAAAAGCATTGACATATATTTTTCCTTCCTACAATAGCCCGACGGGCAGGGCAGAGATAGATTTTGGTAGCCCGACTGAAAAAATCGCTAGCCCCGGGACGTCGGGCTAGCGATATTGCGAGCCCTGTATCTGATTCGAGGAATCACTCATCTTTGGAAAAGAGAGTTTATTACAGAGAAATGTCTCTTTCCAAAATAAAAGCTATACTATCCGCTTCTTCTGGGCTATATTCTCACAGTTACAATCAGTCCCCATAAGGAGAATCATGTGCTAACAGGCTGTCTAAATGACTCGGCTAAAGTTGTAGCACGTGCTTGTTGTTTTTGTCTTTGCACTAGGATGATGTCGGCGTAAATGTGCAGTCATATTCGTTGTGTTCCCACTAGTGCTGTCAGGACTGTTAAATGCTTCAAACGCTCTGTAACGATCCGACCCGTGCTGGGTAACGCCACAGTAACGAGCTACTCGCTAAAACTAGCACCATGTAATTGAGCATTGCATGGCACATCCAGACATACTGTTTTACTTTGTCCATGACGCGCTTACCTTCAGGGTCATACGTCACATGAAAACCAAAATAATTCCAAACGCCAGATCTGAATGAGAGTGGGGGAGGTTCATTTGTTAGCAGTGAGGCACGAGCTTAACTTCTGTCTCTGCTATCCTTTGCTATGCGTCGTTTGGCGCTCAGTGGATCTGCACTCGACAGTGCAGCCTAGGCGGAGTAGTCGAACGCAGATCCACTGAGCGCTCAACACAGACAGCATCGTCAGAAGGAAAAGTTGATAAAATAAATTACAAATGTTGTATTGTTCGATACATATGCGTACCGAACCGAAAGCACTGTATCGAACGGTTCAATATCGATAGGAATATCGTTGCACCCCTACTACAAACCTGTGTGCACAGGGAAGGACTGTGCGGGCATTTGACTCAACATATTGGCAAGGTGATTTGAAAAGGCTGTCACTTAGACCCTTAGTGGGAAAAGGCTTTGAGGGAGTGTTACGGTCTAGCAAGAAGTTTTACAATGTTAAATTTGATTTGTTTTTGGTATGGTACTTTTTCTTTTTTCTCTCGTTTGTTTCTAAAAAGTCTAAAAAGTATTTCTAATCATAATCTACTGCAAAACATGAAAAACTGCAGAATTCATAGCGTGGCCCAGCCAATTCCAGTTCCCAACAGTGGCGGCAGTTACTTAGTTTTGATCTTAACCATATTACTCTTTCTGGGTCACAAAATAAACTTTTAAGATATTTTCAGGCAAGAATGCAGCTGTGTAAACTTAAAATATCTGCTCGATTTATCAAGACATCACATATTTGCGAAAGTGCTCCGACGTTTTTGGAGACGTCTGTTACCCAGCAACTCGATAGCTAGCCGGGGTTTCAAGGCTCACTAGAGCCGGTGAGAACAGCAAACTCCCGGCACATCGTTTTCAAACTCCTTGAGGTCTTTTGCTACTCAGGTTAAACATGATATATAAGTCACCTGGATAACTTAAAAATGTTATTGTTTGGCTTTTTTCAGTGTTTTATTTGTTCCTCAATAAATCGGTTTTGCTGAGATTAAAGTTATAGTTTTCACACAGCTGAATGAACATCAAGGAGAAAACTGATTAAACAGAAGTGTGAGATGGTAGAGAATTTACTTCAGTGTGCTGTTATAGTTTAGGGAGCAAGGAGCAGACGGCTGAGTTTATTAAAGTCCACCGAGACAGCTGGTGATGCAAATCTGAAGGCTAGACCGTCGCATTAAACAGCCTCGCACTTCCGGCCTTCTCGGTTTTCAAAGGACCCGGCCCACATACACCACGAAGGCCGTGGTCTACTTAAAAAATCAGTTTTTTAAATTGATTTACAATTCTACTATTTTACTATGTTTTATTATCTCTGAGTCAGCGTAGAAACAGACAAGTAAAGGGCTTGTAAGTGACTCAGAGCTACACTGCCACAAGCTTGATGTCATCATGTTACAAAGGAACAAACCAGCAAAGAATCATTCATTGCTACTGCAGTGGATTGGTCAATTTGGTACCAGTTCTAAACTGCAAGCTTAGGTGAGGGAGGTGTTGTTGAAGGTCTTTCATTGTAGATCAGGGATCTGCACACCAGTGCCCAGTTTTGATTGATCCATTTCTGACTTTGTTTTGGGACCTTCACACCTTCCAGTGTGCATACATGAAAAATTGGAGTAGTAGCAAACCCCAGCACAGAACATACCAGGTGCAGTTGACAACAGGTATGACTCCATGAAAATTGGAGATGGGTTGCTAAGTGGCTTGCAGATGTTTATATTTATTTGCAGGACTTCCAAAAGAGTTAACAGTTTGCGAACAGACAGCGGGAATACTACTTCAACCTCTGCTACAGTCACATAATGCATGTGTAGGTTTATATAAACCTTTATTCACATTTTTTGGCGATGTTGTCAGTCGTATGGAGTTAAAGCAGCAGTTTTATTGAAGTTTTATTGCATCCTGTACACGTTAGAGAACTTGTCAGTGTGGGAGCAAAAGCCCATCTTTAGTTTCCTCGAGTTTGTATTGTGCACAGATGTACTAGATGAAAGAAGAACTCGTTGCTGATTGTTCAAAATCTCACGAGGCATCGTGAAATGTTTCAGCTTTCTCTGAAGGTTTGTTTTGCAAGACAGTTGGCGCTGAATAGGCTATGGAACTTCATGAATGAGTGAACATATTATGAATATGAAAAAAAAGCTAAAATATTTAGCTGAGACAGATTTCTACCTGTGGGAAGGAGTGCATATCCCACTTTGTGAAGTGTACGCAAAGTTGCACTTTCTGGTGTGTAAACTTATTGTTGAGAGCATTATTTAAAATGATCAGAAAGTGACATGTAGCTTTAAAAAATGCTAATATGAGCCCACACATGCAAGAAAACAATCAGGATACTAAATTAGAGTTTTCCTTTCCTCTTTCCCGAGTGTGAAATGATCTAGTCCACCTCCACCTCCTGATTTCAGCCTTACAGATAACCCCTCACTGGCTCTCCACCCGCTGCTGCCCGTGGTCAATTGTTTTCCACACTTGCCATACTGGCATAAGTGTCTTACCTGTGTGATGTGCAGCGGTGTCTGCCCGGGTGACTGTGCTGATGATGTGGAGGTCCTGGAACAGAACAATCCCTCCTGATGCTCTGAAGTTGGAGGCTGGATGGCTCAGTCTCTCCACTCCGCTGATTGTGATCCTGGGTTCACTGGGCTGAAGCACCATCACCACTGCATCAATATCTGGGATGGTAATACATGTGTCCTCACCAAAACACCTGGATGCAGACAGGCAGAAGAATGAGAGAGACTGTGCGAACTCAAGCTGGAATTAGTGTGGTGTTTTACTGTAGTGTGAAGATGCTGTTTGGTTACGCAGATTTTGTGGAGAGACCGCTATACGATACAGATCAGATTTTGAAAGTTTTGGACACTCCACACAGCTGATGAAGTCAGAGTGAAGACTCCATGTGGTGAGCATGGTTACAGAGATTTGCAGGTATGGGATAACTGCTGGTGAACTTTTTAAAGCTCTGTTTTAATTTCTGTTTCATGTAATGTATGGGAAAGTATCTTGAGGCCTCTGATGGCAGAGTACATAAGCATTTATTGGAACATAAGAAAATAGTACAAAAATACACAAATAATGCAGGTAATATGGAGCTATACTTGTGCTATAATAAATGTAAATGTGTGTTCTGCAGCCCACACAAACCTTTGATCACACTTCTGAACATTTAACAACTGTGACTAAAATTTGCTATTTAAAAGGAGCAATTATCTTCAATCCAATCAATCCATCCACACAATTTAATGTCATTTAATGTAATTCCTCCACAATGACGAGACGTTCTGGTTAAGAAAACAAAAAAACATGTCAAACGTTCAAACAAAATTATCCGTATTTTCCTGTAAATACAAACTTGATGCTGGCTGGATGAGACACCGGACAGTGATGATGATGACGGTGATGATGACTAATGGGTGCTGTCCCGCTCCTCCAGCCTCACACAAGTGTGCACTGTACACTGAGGGCTCAAACACAAGCTTTCTTTGGGATCAAAGATAGTCCAGTGACATGTATTTTTGAAGCATTTGCTCAATCTTCTCTCATTTGAGCTAAACGCAGATCATTTTAATCGATTTTCAGAAGTTTCCAGAGCGTCATACATCACGCCAGATGCCCCGATTTGCACAAAGTAACCTAGACATCATCGTTATGCTAATGAGGAGCAGGTAATACAACTGTACCAGAATCCAACGAATGGCTGATTTGACAAACGGTCCATGGAAATGTAGAAATGACAGATCGTGTGGACACATACCATGATAATAATGCTACTGTGACACTGGGGGGTAATTTTTCTGGGGGTAGCGCAGGTCATCTACTAATTAGAAAGTTTGTGGTTCGATTCCTGGCTGCTCCAGTCTACATGCCAAAGAGTCTTTGAGCAAGATACTGAACCTGGAGTTGCTCCTGATGTGTTCATCAGAGTGTGAATGATTGTGAGTGTTAAACAGAAAGATGTGCTTGTATGAATGTGTGGGAATTATTCATGCTTTAAAGTAGCAGAGCAGAAAAGTGCTGCATAGGAACCACTGACCACAGTCTTCTGTAGATGTTAAAGTTACCTATCAGCAGCGTGTGACAGTATTTTGCCCTTTTTAAATGTTGACACTTGTCCTTATTTCAGTCAAGATATTTAAATCCTAAGGAGTAGGTCACTGAGAGTAAGCCACACACTCTATAACAGCGGTCCCAGATAAATACAATAAAATAAAACCAGTACCTATACCAAAAAAAAAAAAAAATTTATTCATAAAACACGGGAAAAGATCCAGGGGAACCGAGCTAACGATAAAAACGATAAAAAATAACGTTGAAAACTGATAAAAAACCCTGAGAACCATCAATTTCACACCCGAGCCTCAACTCTTGTGGCCCGGTACCAAACGACTCATGGACCGGTACAGGTCCGTGGCCCGCGGGTTGAGGACCTCTGCTCTATAAGGACTATCTAGCTGATACACAGCACCAAAGTGTGACAGGAAAGTGCTTAAAACTTATTTTATAAACATTTTGGCCCTCAGACAAACTGAAATACACCTATGCAGCATCACAATGTAAAACTGTGGAACTTTATAGCAACTAATAAAGCTTGTCGATGGCATCAAGCCCTCTCAGCTGTGCTCAAACCACAGCTGTGTGGTTCAAACCCAGACCACAGCGCGTGCAGTTATTAACCCCTTAGCAGTCCTATTAGTCCCCTAAACCATCCAATGTCCCGTGGGCGGTACGTCCGACTGCTAACAGTTTAAAGAGGCAAACCGCTCCATCCTGTCAGTGCTTAGGCAGCAGACACAGACCTGCTGCGTTTTCACTCGTGCATGGCTGCCTGTCTGCGTGTGATAGCATGCCTTTAAATGCCCAGCGTCCACTGGCAACATTCAATGCACAGGCTTGGATTCGAGCTCGATAGCTGAGAGCTCACAATACAGTCATGCAGAGAGAGAGAGAGCGAGAATAACCTAGCACACACACAGATCTGCCATATTCACCCACACATGTTCACACAAATGAGGGCAGGCATCTGACGTGCAGCCCTTCTATTGCATTATTTGATAAACACAGCGCAGTTTGCAGATCACATGGAACGCATGAGTTATTAAACTGAGAAAAGGCTAGGACGGGCTGAGGCTGTGTCGAGGCGGAGGACTGAGCATTGCGGGGGAAGGAGAGGTAGTAGAAGCACTGAAAGCTGAGCAAACAAGCCAGATTTTTGTTTTTACATTTCACCGAAGGCCTTTCAAGCACACAAACATCTGTCAGTGGGAGGGACATCATTGCCTTGTCTCCCTGCTGCGGCTCTGTAACGGGCTATGAGAATTCATAACTTTTTTTTTTCCCAGATTGGAAGTCTGGGCTATACGATTTCAGCTGTTATGCAGCCTCTATTTTCTCAGCTACATTCTCATGTAAATGATTCTGCAATGCTTGAATGTACTTGATGAATCTGTATATGTTGGGTCACCTACAGCTAGGTTAGAATTGTTTGTGATTAGCATTAGAAAAGCTGAAAGGAGACGGTAGATTTGCCAAAGAAAAGTGAAAAGTTTTCTTTAAAGTATTTGCTAGAACAATAACACAAGTCAGGTATTAGTGATGTTGTTGATGTTGATGCAGAAAATGCCCTTTAAGGGGTTTTTACTGTGTGCACGATAGGCCCGTCATGTCAACTTGATTAATCAGCCTGGCTTTACAAGTAGCTTTTAATGAACACGAAATGGCTAATTAAATAGCGTACTTACATGCTGTTGTAAACATCATATCAGGACCAACTGGTTAAACAAATGTATCAAAATAAATAATTATTTACACTCTGAGATGAAGATACATAAATGTAAAATTGTCATTCTTAAGAAAAATGTAGTAGGTATGAGTATGGTAGTTGTGTAACCATCATACTCTTGTTTAACACACTCCTTTAAGTTGCTTATTAAGCCGAGCAATTCTATTTTATGACTTTTCAGAACTGCTAATTAAATTAAGTTAAATCTTTAACTTATTTCATGAAGAGCCACATTTTACACACACACACACACACACACACACACACACACACACACACACACACACACACACACACATATATATATATATATATATATATATAAATATATGTGTGTGTATATATATATATATATATATATATATATATATATTTTAGGGGTGCAACGATACTCGTATTGATATTGAACCGTTCGATACAGTGCTTTCGGTTCAGTACGCATATGTATCGAACAATACAACATTTTTAATTTATTTGATCAACTTTTCTTCTGACGATGCTGTCTGTGTTGAGCGCTCAGTGAATCTGCGTTCGACTACTCCGCCTAGGCTGCACTGTCGAGTGCAGATCCACTGAGCGCAGTGTGCTCTTGTGTGAGTGGGGGGGGCAAGCTAGCGAGACAGAAGCTAAGCTCGTTGCAACATGGCAACTGCCTCAACCCTACCCGAAATTAAACCTCCCCCACCCTCATTCAGATCTGGCCTTTGGAACTATTTTGGTTTTCATGTGAAGTATGACCCTGAAGGTAAGCGCGTCATGGACAAAAGTAAAACAGTATGTCGGATGTTCCACGCAATGCTCAATTACATTTGCTGCGTTATGGCGTTAACATCATTTCAACGAGTTTAACTCTAACAGCACTAGTGGGAACACAACGAATATGACTGCACATTTACGCCGACATCATCCTAGTGCAAAGACAAAAACAACAAGCATGCTACAAACTTTACCCGAGTCATTTAGACAGCCGTTAGCACATGATTCTCCTTATGGGGACCTGATATGTTTAATATGCTGCTGAGAATATAGCCCAGAAGAAGCGAATAGTATAGCTTTTATTTTTGAAAGAGACATTTCTCTGTAATAAACTCTCTTTTCCAAAGATGAGTGATGTCTCGATCAGATAGATTTATTTTATTTTTTAATTATTTTGTTGTTTCAGCAACATTAAATTTAAAAACTGTACCTTTGAGTTAAAATATATATTTATAATTTTAATAAATGACAAATTAAAAAGGCATGAACACTTTTTGTATCAAAAAAATATCGAACCGTGACACCAAAGTATCCAACCGAACAGTGAATTTTGTGTATCGTTGCACCCCTAATATATATATATACATATATTTTGCCTCAGACAGTCAGAAATATTATAATTCAGATCAGTACATTTACATATTTTTGTATCTATAAAAAGAAAGCTGACACTTGCAAGACTTTATCAAAGGTGTGAGCATCACAGCAGAGGCCTTTGTGTCAAAGTAGCTGAAGATAAAACACAGTAAAACATGAAGGTGATTTTCCTGGCCTGGGATTTTAGAAAAATATTCTGCAGTACATCAAAAACGAAAGAAAACCATTAATCAACATATGAACATTACCTCTGAAGTTACAGCGGTTTTATTACAGACACAGCTAAGCGTTTTGCATTTTGCATAATTTTAAAAAGTTTACATTTGTTCAGAAGCCTATTGAACGGCAGAAATGAGGCTTTCTTTTCGGAAGTAAGTAAAAGGGAAAAAAACAGCGGCCGACAGCGCTGTAAACAACGGTAGACTTGTGCGTAACAAGCAAGCGAATAATGCAGAAAACAGATTTTTAGACGGGAAACTGTTGTTGAAGAGAGAGAGAGAGAGAGAGAGAGAGAGAGAGAGAGAGAGCAGTGCATGAAGTGTGGTGGAAGCAAAACAGCAAAAGTCAGAGGGAAT